AATCATGACTATGGAGGAAAAAGAAAACAGCCTGTTGCTAAACACAGGTGCAAGTCTCTCGGTCCTTTTTTTCAATCCTGGCCTTCCTTCCAGCCGTCACACCTCAGTGAAAGGAGTCACTGATGAGGAGGTAATCCACTATTTTTCACAACCCTTAGGCTGTAACTACCTGTTAGATCTTTCTTGTATATCTGTACTTTCCTGAGAAACCACTTTGAAGATACCAACATGTATTACAGCAGCCACTGATAATTTCCTACCAATCTGTCTGTAACTCTGTAACGTTTGTATTGTTCCTATGCTATTTCGTAAATGGATGGATGTATATTACTATGTGTTTTCAACAATAACCATTGAGAATAGTCAATGATTATTTTTTAATTTTTTTTTTTTGGTACCGGGAATCGAACTCAGGACCTTGTGCTTCCCAGGCAAGCACTTGTGCCACTGAGCTATATCCCCGGCCCTTCTATTATTTAACTGATCACTCATGTATAGCTCTATTTGTTTTCCCTAGAAACCACTTTGAAGATACCAAAATATAGTACAACAACCATTGATAATTTCCTACCATTTTTGTCTGTAACTCATTATTATTTGTCTATTTGTTTTCCTGAGAAACTATCTTGAAGATACCAATAGGTAAAATAACAACCATTGATAATGTCCTACCACTTTGTCTGTAATTGGGGAAATCCCCATATTATTATGTTATCCTTCTTTTACTCTTTAAAATAAAAAAAAAAAGAAAACCAGGTTACTCTGAAAAAGGAGACTGAAGAAGATATCAGAAAATGGAAAGCTATCCCTTGCTCTTGGGTAGGAAGAACCAACATAGTGAAAATGGCTGTGTTCCCAAATTGTCATACAAATTTAATGCAATCCTAATCAAGATACCTTACAGAACTAGAGAAAACAATCCTAAAATTCATTTGGAAGCAGAAGAGACCCAGAATAGCAATAGCAATTTGGGAAACAAATGCAAGGCAGGGAGCGTCATAATCCTGGCTTGAAGTTCTCCTCACAGCTATTGTGATAAAAAGAAAACTAAAAATACTACTAGCAAAAAAACAGAGCAGTGGTTCAATGGAA